AGATATTTATATAATACAAATGTTAGCAATAACCAAAATAACCAAAATATTCACGTTTCCTCTTCGTATCTTATTATTCATGATTTATGTACTTCTACTTAAAATTTTGTAGATCCATCACTGGTTTTCCATTTCTAGCCTCAAAACACACCAAAAACAAGATTTTTCAGAGAAACCGATTTTTTTTATCCGAACAAGCAAAAATCGCGGCGGTCGGGGGCCGCCGAGCGCATATCCGGCGCTTAATGGGTTTGTTAGCCAAAGTCTAGAGCTAATTATGCCTAAGAGAGTAGTTGGTTTGGGACTTAAAAGTCTTTGTAATGAGTAGAAAAAACAGAGTATAGTTCTCTGATATTTCTTTTATAAATATGTACCAAAATGGTGTTGTGTAAGTATCCAATTCAATTCTAGTAGAAGAGTTGGATCAAAGTAACAATGTAGCATTCAATATCTCTCTACTCTTCTTACTGTAACACCAAAACATCAAAGTGACAGAGAGAATTATGGGGTTTTGATTTTGATTCTTGTTTTTGGAGGCAGATCAATCAATTTTTTTTTGAACTCAAGGTGCCTACCAGCTGTTTGATTAAATGTCCCTGCGTAGATACAAACTTCCCAACAACAGAAGAGAAGAATATTGAATTGTTCAAAGACCTACAACATCAAATACAACCTCCAGGCTATAAAAGGAGACAAGACAAAACAGAACCAGAAGATAAAGTCTCCTAATTCATGGTTGTTAAAGTTCAAACATAAGAAATTGATAAGCGTTTTGATCAAGTTACTCATAATCCAAGCAAAAAGTTGAAACACAAGAAATAAGATACCAAGAGGAAACGTGAATCACCAACAACTTCAATTAAAATAGAAATAAGTTCAAAATCATAAAACCATAAAAAGTAGTGAAACAGAGAAACATCAAATTCCTAACCAACGAAAAAACATAGCAGAGCAGAGCAAATCCCAATTAAGCAATAACCAAAAACAGAGAAATTCAAAACTAAAATTCTGAACCTCAGAGTCACATCACAACTCCAACGAAATCACATGTCGCACGATTATGCCCCGAATGATGACATCTTGAACAAGCATGTTGTTTTCTTGGTCGTTTCATTATCGTTTCTTCAATCCCTTGGTATCTCCTCTTTTTTGGTCTTCCTGGACTCCTACGGGCATCGGGAGGCAAACATTGACCAATGGTATCAGTACCCAAATCAAGAAGCTCTTCTCCAGGTCTTATACTCTCTGAAAACCAATATGATTTTGTGTAGTAACGATCTACTAGCAATTGTGGATCGACTCCCCGACTCAT